ATCTAAAAGATGAGTATATTAAAAACAATTCTTATAGTCTGACAGTGCCCATGACTTTGATGTTCTTGTCTCTGGGTTTGAAAGTCATTAGTTCTTGTCCCATTCCAGAGATACCAACACATAAACTGATCTGACACTCAATGCTATACTGAGGGAAATACCACCTTTCAGCTGGGACTTTGAAATGAGGCCCCCTTTGTCCTTTCAGGTTGATGTCAAAGATCTTATGGTACTATTTCAAGCAAGAGCAGGCGAGTTCTCACTCAAGTTCAGGCCAATATTTACCCTTTGACCATTGTGACCCAAACAGATAAAGACAGTGCACAAACTGACTGCCTATGCTTCATACTTTGCTGTGATGTGGAGGTGCTGATGTTGGACTGGGGTGGACAAAATCAGAAGTCACACGACAGCAGGAGATAGTCCAACAGGTTTATTTGAAATCACAGGCTTTTGGAGTGTAGCCCCTTCATCAGGTGAAGTGCGAGAGAAGCACACAGAATTTATAGGCAGAGAGATCAAAGGCAGAGCAATCAAAAGATCATGCAACTGATGTGAGTGCAGTGTCGAATAACAAGTCTCTGCAGGTGATCAAAATTGTCAGATGGTGTGGGTAAAGTATCACAACTGAAGAACCAGCGAAGGGATGACGTATAAGATGATTAAATGAGGCAGAGGGATAATTTACAAAAAATTAAAAATAAGGTGGTGCCGGAGACAAACCAAATGACTGGAATAACATGATCAGTATGAAAGTCACATGCCGAGGGTCTAACCAGTGTAATAAGTAATCCAAAACTGTACAAACTAATTAAGATACAGAGATTATAACAATTTATCAAGGTGATAGTGTCAAAACAGGACAGTAAGGGAGATTTTACAGATACAGAGCAGTATGGTGGGGTCATATGTAGCCCAGCACGAACCCAAGATCATCGTTGAGGCTGTCTCCATGGGTACGGAACTTGGCTGTCAGTTTCTGCTCTGCGATTCTGCTTTGTTGTGCATCTCAAAGGCCACCTTGGAGGATGCTTACCTGAAGATGAGAGGCTGAATGTCCTTGACCGCTGAAGTGTTCCCACACTGGGAGGGAACATTCCTGTCTGGCGATTGTTGCGCAGTGTCCATTTATCTTTTGTCACAGCGTCTGCAATAGTTTCACCAATATACCATGCCTCGGGGGATCTCTGCCTGCAGCTTATGAGATAGACAACATTGGCCAAGTGACATGAGTATCTGCCATGTATGTGGTGGGTGGTGTTCCCACGTGTGATGGTAGTGTCCATGTTGAAGATCTGACATGTCTTGCAGCAGTTGCCATGACAGGGTTGTGTGGCATTGTGGTTGATGTTGTCCTGAAGGCTGGGCAGTTTGCTGCAAACGATGGTGTGATTAAGGTTTGGTAGCTATTTGAAGGTGAGAAGTGGAGTTTTGGGATGATCTTGGCGAGATGCTCATTGTCATCGATGACATGTTGAAGGCTGCGAAGAACATGGCGTTGTCCCTCTGCTCTGGGGAAGTACTGGATGACGAAGGGTATTCTATCAGTCGTATTCTGTGTTTGTCTTCTGAGGATGTTGTTGTGGTTTTTCGCTGTGGCACGACAGAACTGGCAATTGATGAGTTGAGCATCATATCCCATTCTTATGAGGGTGTCTTTCAAAATCTTTAGGTGTCCGTCATGTTCCTCCTGTGTATGTGCAAGGCTTGTCCATAGGTGATGGTTGCTTTAATATGTTCAGGGTGGAAGCTAGACAGGTGCAGCATACTTTGTAACAGTAACTACATTTTAAATGTTGTTCATTGGGTGTAAAGTGCTTTGGAATATCCCGAGACTGTGAAAGATATTATAGTCATGTAATTTCTTTATCTTCTTTAAAATGAATTTTTGTCATTGCCATCACAATAAGATACATCCAAAATATTTACAGTGCACTTAGAATGCATTCCAAAGGTCAAATATTCACATATCTTAGCAAGACTACTGACAATCTTGTCTTTCCTTTGCCCTACCATAGTTTATGTAGCAGTTAAAATAAGTACTTTATTTTTTGGTGGTTTTTGAAGTTGATTTTACACTGAATTTCAACATTAACAAACTTCCATACCAAGAATGTAATTAAAGCATAATTTTCTGACTGATGCCATTATAGGTGGACAAAGGGGTCAGACCCTTCAGATAAATGTTGACCTTTCATTTGTAAATTTTGAATTCAATCTAAGCTGATCGGATGAACTTATCTCCCTATCAATTATACGACTCCTCTGTCAAAATATTAAGGACTTTGCTTCACATGGTCACAAAAATAAAGCTTTCTCTCGTTGTCAATTTCAGGGAACTGGGAATCTCACAGTTAAACCCACAGCGTTTGTTCTGGGAAATGGATATACTTCACTGGGGCAGGAGAGGGCGCTCTTCTGAAGTTGGAGGTGAAGAGCGGGGTTTACCTGGGAATGCTGACGCTCATAAGTGGGAAAGGGATTTGCTCCTCAGCACAGACATTATGTACGCTGATGAACTCAAAAACTAAGCAAACACCTAAATCTGGAACAGTCAGATTTGTGCACATGACAGATACGTACTGATACTGAAAACATAACATGAGATTGGAAGAAATTGATATAATGCTCTTACATTATTCAGGTTTTATCTATACTCTAAATTTGCTGCAAATTAATTTGACATTTTGTATTCATTACCCATCACTAATGTGTTTGTTAGGTGATATAGCCATATTGCCGTGGATCCAGGACAGTACTTAGACCGGATTGGGTAAGGGCCACTGGTTTCCTCCCCGTTTTACATCAATTCATTTGGTTATATTCTCACTATTAACTGAGGTTTTTTTTCCATGGGATTAGAATGAATTAATTAATAGTCTCTGATTTACTAAACCAAGGATATAATTACAATGTGCTCTATGAAGACAATAATTTCACAGACCAATAATCCTCGAAGAGAAAGAAATTCTTCTCATATTTGCCTTAAATAAGAGACCCCTTATTTTTATATTATACTGCTAGTTCTAGACTCTCCCATAATGGGAATAATTCTTTCAGCATCCATCACTTTAATTGCACTCATAACCTTTGAAGTTTCAATCAGATCATTTTTCATTTTTCTAAACTCCAATGAATACAGGTCTAACCTGCTCTGTCTTTTCTGTCATTGGTGGTAAAGTGTTTTGTAACATCTTGTGGTCATGAAGGATGCTGTACCAATAGCTAGTGCAACATATGTGAGGCACAAACTGGGTCTGTGTTCTCTAGGGTTTTTAAGATTAAGAGATGACTCCCATTGACACCTACAAAATACTGAAAGGAATAGACAGTGGTGATGCAAATAAGATGTTTCCCCTGATTGGTGAGTCTAGAACCAGGGGGCACAATTTAAGGTGGTTACCACTCAGAACTGAGGTGAGATTTTGTTTACTAAAAGCCTGGTGAATCTTTGGAATAGTCTCCCCTAAAGGGCTGTGGAAACTTCGTATTTGAGTACATTTAAAACAGAGGTTGATTCATTTTCGATCAGAAATGGCATAAAGGATAATGGAATACGGTGGATGGAGGCATTGAAGTGTTCGATCTGCCATGAACAAACTGAATGGCCTCCTTCTGTTCCTATGTTTAAAGGGTCCATGAGTATTTGGCTTTGACAGTAAAAGGACTGACTTGCTATTCATATGAAGAAATAAAAAATAGCTTTAACAGCGCAGTTGGTTAGGCAGCATCTTGGGAGAAAAGAGAGAAACAGATCATTTTTTGGGTCAATAATCTTTTATCAATCCAGATTATCATAGAATCCCTACAGTGTGGAAGCAGGCCATTCAACCCACATTGAACCTTTGAAGAGTATCCCACCTATACCCACCCTATCCCTGTAACCCTCTATTTCCCATGGCTAATCCACCTAACCTGTATGTCTTTGGACTATGGGAGGAAGCTGGAGTACCTGGAGAAAACAGCAGACACAAGGAGGATGTGCAAACTCTAACCCGGGTTCCTGGCGTTGTGAGGCAGCAGTGCTAACCACTGTGCCGCCCATAAAGTCATCAAACTGAAATATTACAGTTGTTCCTTTCCTAAAAAATGAAAGTGACTTGCATTTGTATAGCGCTTTCCTGTGCTGCCCAATGTCACAAACCACTTTCCAGCCAATTGAATACCATTTTGAAGTGTTGTTGCTATTTACAATGTCAGAAAGACACCAGCCAATTCGCTCACAGCAAGCCCCAACTGTCAGCAATGCAATATTGGCCAGACGTTGTTTTCTTTTAATAAGAAGGCAAATAGATCTTTTAACCCAGATAACAAGGTGTAGAGCTGGATGAACACAACAGGCCAGGCAGCATCAGAGGAGCAGGAAAGCTGATGTTTCGGGTCTGGACCCTTCTTCAGAAAATCTGGACCCTTCTTCAGAAAATTCAGAAAAGAGCATCCTGCTCCTCTGATGCTGCCTGGCCTGCTGTGTTCATCCAGGTCTACATCTTGTTATCTCAGACTCCAGCATCGGCAGTTCCTACTATCTCTGAGATCTGTTAACCCACCCTGCCTGCTATGGATTGAGAAGTAAATGCAAGGACAGCTCTGCCATCCCAGGAACAATTCTGATGACCTTCAGTTGCACTCCCTCTCAGTGTCCCTCCTGAGATGAGGGAACTAAAAACTGCAGATAGTAACTCCATCTGCTGTCTAGCTCAGTTCCTAGACAATTGAAGCAAAGCACTCACTACTGTGAATAAAACGAAATCATGATCTAACTCGTGCTGGTGAATGCAGACTTGGCCAGGATGTTTAGGCGCTCTCCTTTTACAGTTGGTGCACACGCACACAACAAGACCTACCTAGCCTCTCATGCCTCTGCATATCTGCTTTGTCACTTTCCTTTTTTCCCCTTTCCCTCGTCCCTCCCCTCCCGCTCACGTGGCCGCTTCCCAGTCAATGTGAAACAAAAGCCCTTTTCTCCTCCTCCTCCTCCTTCCAACCCCCCTCCCACCAGCGCCTCTTCCACTTGCGGGTAATCCTGAGCTCAAACCGAGAGTAGCCCCGGGAGATAAGAGCACGGCAGCTGCTCGCTAACTCGCAGGCGCTGGGGATCGAGGCGCAGCCAAAGGTACAAGGTGCTTTTGCCGGCAGAGCCTCCTTCGCTGGAGCCTGCATCTCTCCCCACCTCTCAGGCAATATAGGAGCACTCTCCTTAGCCGGAGAGAGGACTAGTTTGTTTGGGTTATACAGCGCAAAGAAGGCCAGGGTTTGAGTGCATGTGCCGTTTGCTTGTCTTCGTAAAAAAATTATTATTCTTGCTCGCCCCCCCCCCGTCCCTCTTTAAAACAGAAAATATAGGGCTGCAGACACAATCTGCTTAAATGTTCAGTGGACTGACTGCGAGCAAGATTCACTCCGCTCTCTATCCCCAAACTCTGCTTTCATTCTCCTAAATCTCACCCCTGCAGGGCGCAGGAGGCATTCTGCAGACTGGGATTTGTGTGTGGAAGGCAAATCGTTAATCGGGCCAAGATTTGACAGGCTATTGACGTTTACGGATCCTTATGTAATCGGAAACAATAATGCGTGAAGTGCTGAGATAGCAAATATCGATAAGAATCGGGAGGTAGCCGCATCACTGTGCATTGACCGGTTGCATCGACGGCAGCTTGAAGTTGGCTTGTTGTTCACTGACAAGTCGCCGAACTTGCCCACATTTCGGAGCAAATGGCCCAGCGACCTGGGAGCCTCTTAGTGACGAGGTCCTCCCACGTTGGTCTGGAACAGCTGAAGCACTAGCTGAACCCAGTGCCAGGATAAGGAAAGGAGAAGCAGCATCCTCCAGGATCTATCAGTCAGTGAAACCCAGCCATGGGGGAGGATAGCAGCAGCCAAGGCCAGCCCGAGGAAAAGTGCAAGCCTGAGAAGCAGTTCACCTTGTGGTACATGGGCTGCTCCACCCTGGACAGGAGGACCACCCTGCCCATGTTGCCCTGGCTCATGGCTGAGGTCCGCAGGCGCTGTGAGAAACAGGAGCCAGGGTCATCCATGGCAGCGCGGGAAGTTCAACTCAGCCTGGTCCGACCTCTCATCAGGTGTGTCCCCAAGGCCACCAGCAGCAACCCCTCAGTCTTCATCTTCGAGCATAAGGCGCAGCATGTCACTAGGTTCATCCACAACAGCCACGACCTCACCTACTTCGCCTATCTGATCAGAACCCAACCTGACAACCCTGAGTCAGAGATGGCTTGCCATGTTTTCAGAGCCACTGACCCAAACCAGGTGAGTGTTTGATTTAGAGCATGTGGGTGCAATACCCAGAGTCATAGCGGTTACCCACCCACCATTAGACGTGTGTCTGAACACACGGTGGTAGAGATCTGATCACAATAAACCTGAGTTCCTAACGCAATTTTAACCATTGCTCAAATTGAGCTATCCTGGTCTGCCAATCTGGAGTTTTGAGCATTGGTCACATAACTGAAACAAGGCTTCAATGTAACTCTTAATCTAAATATAAGCGAAATCAAATGTTTAGTTGCTTTTATCAGATAATAAATGGGTAGTGAACTGGAAGTTTCTGGTTTTGTTAAATAATAGAAGACCAGCATTTCACACTTGAAATAGCTCAGGTGTAAAAATACAGCGTTTCATTTGATTTTGACTTTTTTGCCCTGGCTGACTCACCTGTCAATACAAACGGCAGTGAAGAGTCATGTTTGTATCTTTTAAAGGGTCTTCCTCATTGACTGTGAATAAGTACAATTATAGATCATGTTCGTTAGGTAACAGTGGAATTTTTACAGGAATCTTTGGTATGATATGAAGTGCTGCATTATTATGTTTGTTAACAAATGGATTATTTTTAAAGCAATTTGTAAAATAGTTCTGGATAGAACCTGGTGCGACTGTTATTTTTTGAGTGTTTTATATATTTTTAAGGTAATATGTTTTCCTTACATGTCAAATAAGTAATGGGGTTTAGTACGTTTTAAAAGAAAAATCCATAGATGCAGCATTCTTGTGAATGAACTGTGGAGGAATCAAAATCAGCTTGATTTGCAAACAGTCATGCAAAAGGCCAATATAGTAATTACAATGGTCAATGCTGTTAAAATTTATTGAGGTTGAATCATGATAATCATAGATTATTTTACACCAGAAGCAAACAACGAGACTCACGTGTTAATTGAGATGTCATGGTGGTTATTAATCAGTTAAAATCAGATATTTGCGAAGGAGTTTTTCATGTTTCTCTGATCATTTAAGCACAAAGTCTATTTCTACTAAATATCTTGCGATAAAATGATTTTGTTCTCCAGAAATTTGGGATTTGGATCTGTTGTTTAATATGAGCACACGGGTGGACAGTAAACAGCTGGCTTGCTGTCTGCACATATATTGATTGACTGCATGGGTATATGTTCATTGCAAGTAAGCAGTGATGTGAATGGGTAAACTGTAGTTGGGTACGTGTCATTCCATTAAGACAAGGTGTTCTTGGATGCAGTGCATACTGAAATGTTTTCCTTCGAAAATTTGAGAGAGGTGGTGCCTACAATTTTGTCAAATGGTAAAATTTTCTGAAGAAACTAATTCTGACTTTGTGCCCCTTTAGGATTGGCTGCTGCCGTTCGCTTTGTTCCCTTTGAAGGGTCACAGAACATGATTATGTAAAAGGAGCACTGCGTGGTTTCCTGAGTTTAGATCCATTAACCAATGCCTCATTTTGCATCTAGATATAGGATCCAACAGTAGCAGTAATGTGTCAAAATGGAATTCCATGATGTTTTCAGTCAACATTTGGAACTGAATTCCATTAGTGCTGCATGCGAAAAATCAAAAATGCTCTCTACACTTGGGTTTACTTAGTTTGCTTGTGTCTTTTGAAAGCTATAATGCAGCTTCCTCAGTCATGTGGTTATTGCTTGCAATATTTCGCATCTTTATCCCTTTCATGTAGAAAAGTCTCACCAGTATTTGCAATCTTCAAGAGCCCACCTGAGAGTGTGAAGGATCCATGGTCCTAGTGACTACATCTGGAGTACAGTGTGTCTGGGTGTTTTCAGAGGTTTAGAATTAACATAGATTGGAGACCACTAGGTGTTTTTGATAACTGGTTATTGATGTGACTTCAATCCAATAAATAAGTGTATTCATTCTAATCATTTTATAGACACACAAATCAGTCAGACAACATTTTGTTATAAAGTATCAAAAATAGGTGGAGTTGAAAGGTATTGATATTTCAGGCGAATAAGCTTTCATCTAACCATCAGGTCATTGACCTGAAACATTAACTCTGTTCTTTCTCTGTGGACGTCGCTGTACCTGTTGAGTATTCACAGCATTTTCAGTTTATATTTCAGATTTCTAGCATCAAGTGTCTGGTTTTCAATTTGAGTTGTAATAATATTTAATTAGAAAAATTCCTAGAAATTCATTTTATTTCCCACTTTATCATAGGGTGTGTTTCACTGTCAAGGCCAGCATATGTTATATCCCAGACGCTATATTTGAGATCCTGAACTTTCACTTGTTCAACGCTGTAGTGACGGTACAAAGTCTCAAACTTAAATTTGCTACTTATTAGGTTTATAGTATTCTGGCATATATACAATTCAGGCAATGTAGCAATATTTAAAACAGTGAAATCAATAAGTTCATATACGCTTAAGGAGAACACCTCCATCCAGACCCTGCAGATATTACTTAATTAATTAAGCCTTAATGTAATAGAATGGAGACTGTCATTCATAGCTTAATCTTGTCCCAGTGGATTGAGGATGGAAAGGAGAAGCACAGACTAAGTATAAAAAGGTGGAAGGCCTATCTTTAAACCCTTTTATGGAGTAAAGATCGTCTCAAAATAGTTTTCAGTGTCTATATCCTTACCTTTGTTTCCACTTAGAAAAGAAGATGCATTTCGTCATTTTATTTGGTCTGCTAGCACAATCCACTCATAAAGTATATTTTATCTAATCCTTAGCTTGATTTTTGCATGACTGAATAAACCTGGTATTCATCTTAAATTTATACTTTGGGAAACACAAGACGGAACATGGTTGTGATGCTTTTCTTAAGAAAACAGTCTCTGGACCTTATCTCTGGAACTAAGTGCAAATAATAAAATGACCACATGAGCAACATATGAACCACTTCTATCTGTAAAGTGTTACCGCTAGCAAATTTTGTAATTGAGTTAAGTAAATAAGGAATTTTTGTTTTGCATCTGCTGTTTTAGAACATAGAACATTACAGCGCAGTACAGGCCCTTCGGCCCTCGATGTTGCGCTGACCTGTGAAACCAATCTGAAGCCCATCATTTTTCCATGGTCTGAGAACTTAGGTCCACTTATCGGTTCAGCATCCTTCATTTTTCTGACTATGTTATCCTTTTAACTTTGAAGTTACTTTTTGTATTCTCTCTTGGCCTTCTCTTGCCTGTGCTAGTAAACATGGCTGGAGGACCTGTCTCGGGTTTCCATGTGCAATGCACTTACAAAGTGATATCTTTGAGCTGCCTGATATTGATATTCCTTCTAATGTTCCCTTTTCCCTGTGGAGAAACTCTCAGACTCCAAGTCAACATCACCTCAGAGATATGTCTTAAGGTCTTGGGGAAATGGAGAACCAATCTGTGCCCTTCCATACACAATGTTTTGATTCATATTCTGCAGAATGATTCCAACTTCTCCTGTATGTTTCTTTTACATTTTTGATGCCACTCATACAGTAAATGATTAAAACAGTTTTATATAATTATCTGTGAGTCAAAAGCAACAGAACCACATGCATCTTTATTCAAATATATTTGAAGAAGGTGGGATCATCTACTAAACAAGGTTATAAGGAAAATAAATGCAGTTGACCACTTCAGGACGAGTGGTTGAGTTGGTTCAAATTGAATTCCAGTTGATAGTGTGAACTTGAGACTAATGTAAGAAAATAAAAACTTGCATAAATAATCCAGGAGATGAAAATCTGACACTCATCCCAGAGTTTGTTTAGTGTTGTGACTGGGTGTCTGGTATTTAACTTCAGCTTCAGCTTCAAATTCTCTGCCACTTGTTTGCAATTTTGTCTTGATAAATGGATGGTGTCCCGGTGCACGAATCAGAAAAAGTTAGTATGCAGATGCAACAAATAATTAGGAAAGCTAATAGAAGGGTATTTGAAGAGACTGGAGTACAATAGTAGAGAGGTTGTACTTTGCATGTGCAGGACATTGGTGAGATGTACAGCATTAGTTGCCTGATTTAAGGAAGGATGTAAATTCATTAGAAGTGCTTTTGAGGAGATTTGCTGAACTAATACTTGGAATGGGTGGGATGGCTTAGGGGAAGGTTGTCAGGCTAAGCTTGCATCTGTTGTAATTGAGAAGCATAAGGGGTGACTTGATTAAAATATACACGATCCTGAGAGGTTTTGACAGGGTGGACATGGAAAGAATGTTTCCTCTTGTTGGGGAATCTAGAATGAGCTTCACTGTTTAAAAATAAGGGATCATCTACTGAAGACAAAGATGAGGAGAATTATTATCTTTGGGGAGGACCGTGAGTTTTTGGAATACTTCGGCAAAAGGCATTGGAAGCGGAGTCTTTTGAGTATTCTTAAGTTAGCAGCAGGTGGATAGAGAGATAAACCTGGTAGTCTTGGTGGGTGAAAGATCATCATGGCTAGGCAGGACTGTGGAGTAATCAGATCAACCATGATTTTATTGACCGGGTGAGCAGACTTGAGAGCTGCATGGTCTATTCTTGCTGCTAATTTGTAAGTATCTATGAGGGGCTGAGCAGGTCGACCAACATTTTTGAAAAAGAATAAAGGACATGTCAGCTCTAGGGCCAGGACAAGTAATATGTTAGTGACCAACTGAGTGGGTGAGGGGTGTTGCTGATGACTATAAGAGCGGTGCTTGGGAGGTTGGTGCTGGTGTCTCACAACATTGTCTCTTAGTTCGCTGAATCTGTGACTTGTAGTCCTGCTTAAATCACTCAACCAACACTCCCAGGCTCAGTATCCCACAGGCTGCCCGAGAAACAGGGGAGAACAGGCATCCTGGGACAAACAGTCAAAATGAGGGGCAATCACTTAATATGTGAGACAGCCCGTTGCCCTGAAACTAAGTGCTGTTCCTTGTTTCCTTGCATATGCTTGTGATCTGTAGTTCTTAAAGGTCACTTGTTGAAAGATGCCTTTTCAAATGGATTAATAATTGTGATTGTCTTCCTGCTAAATTCCTGATATATACTTCTCATTTGATAGTAAATAACCTGACT